AGTATACTTAGAGATCTTCCGCGCGACAGGCTTGATTTCCCGGAAGTCCTAAAGCTCGCGATAAAGGCAGAGGCAGACGATTACAAGGACTTGGTGTGGAGAGGGATGAGGAGACGTGACTTCTCTCTCTACAAGGAGTATGCCACTRATAGATGTCCTGATTTCAAGGATTATCCCTGGTCGGAGAAGAATGAGGCCGTGGCTGAGGAAGTGAAGGAGATACGGGACATGGTGAAGGGATTAACGRGACAGGTTACAGAGATTGTGACCGCCACAGGGGTCACGACCTACCGGGACAAACCTGGAGGGCCCTATTTACTTCGCTGGGACCGTAGGAAGAACGATCCCTGGAGGATTGTCGAGGATAGAAATCCTCGGACGCTGACTGATTATCGTACGAGGGGAAGAGAGAGAGACGATGAATCATGGCGACGTAGGGACGCTGAGATAGATCGAGACCGCAGAGATCGCGAGCTGTTTGTGCGAGCAAGGAGGCTAGATGATTACCCCCGAAGCCCTCGCTATGAGGCCGATCGGGGTAGAGGCGACTCCCGCGGCCGATGGGAGACAGAACAGGGCCGACGAGATGGATATAGGGGCAACAGATACGAGAGATCGGATCGAGATGGATATAGGGACGACAGATACGAGAGGTCGGGTCGAGATGGCTACAGAGGAAGTAGATATGAGAGAGGAGATCGGGACTGGGAACGACAAGATGGGTCGCGCGGACGGTTTGAGCGCGGGGGAGATGCGAGAGAGGAGCGCGACGAGTCACGGGGATGGTACGACCGAGGGGACCGACGCGATGAGTCACGAGGACAATATGACTCGGGGGACCGCCGGAATGATTCGCGAGGGTGGTATGAGCAAGGAGGGTCTGGAGGAGACCGGCGCAACGATTCGCGCGGTCGGAATGAGAGGGGGGGATATGGCGTCTCATCAGAACCATATCCTAAGTCGCCTGACCCCAAGGCGGCCAGAAATTCGATCTCTAGAGGCGCAGACGACAGGGTATCTACTCCCAGGAACTCATGCGTCTACTGTAGAGGAGAAAATCATATCAAGAGGGATTGCGCGGACCTCAAATGGGCAATAAATGAGGGACTTGTCGTGCTTGACGACCGCAAGTACGTCAAGTGGGCAGATGATCTGAGAGATGTATCGATCTTCCCTTCGATGAAAGAGAATGTCGAAGCAAGGAGAATAAAGACGAGTAAAGGAATGGAGCCGGTCAGGAGCCAGAGCATCAAGATAATCTTTGAGGGGGATATCGCGACCACACCCATAAGGGTGGAAGCAACCAAGTCGGCAAGAGGGTCTACATCGAAGAAGACTGACACAGATTACGTGATGACGATGAATGACGGGCAGCGAGTCGATGGAGAGGAGGTTATCCTTTCGCCGCGAAAGAGGGGAGTGAAGAAGTTCTTAATGAAGAGTTCGCTGGACGAGATTGACACGGTTGAGCCACTGAGGCGGGTCCTTCGGCAACCAATGCAGTGCTCTATTCTGGAGTACCTGGCGGCATCGAAGCCGGCTCGTGATGAATTACAGATGATCACGCGGAAGACTCGCATACCTCTATCAGAGGAGGGTCAGGGGGCCCCTAAAGCGGAAGCTTCAACAGTAGCGGTAACGGGGGTGACTGCCAGAGCGGATCGCATGGCGACAGTCCTTCTCGATGGGATGGAAGGTGTGCCTCCAGACAAGTTTTATATACTTGGTAGTGGGGCCGTAGAGACGATTATAAACGATGGAGCGATACTCGATGCTGTGATTGATAACGGCAGTGAGGCTGTCATCATAGACGAGGACCTGGCAGTACAAGTTGGATTGGGCCTCGATAGATCATACCTATTCGAGATAGAGACGGTTCATGGGAGAAAGCAACAGATCACTGGGGTTTGTCACAAGGCAGCCACAGAGGTCCAAGGGGTAAGAGTGACCCTGCCTGTCTTTGCAGTCAAGAACTGTAGCTCCGACCTGCTTTTGGGTCGAACGTGGCTGAGCCACGTGCATGCGGTGACGATAGAGCAACCTGATGGGAGCCAAACATTGTCCATTAGGAAGTCAGACCGGACGCGGGTAATGATTGAGACAGTGGAGCCTCGGGACCCGAGGAACAGAGTAGCTCTCGCTGTGGGTGCAAGACCTAGGGATCAGATTAAGTCATTACCTATCTCCGGACGCGCGGTGCGATTTCGCGAGAAGAGATTTGGACTACTGCTTACAGAGGAAGAAGGTCGGATCGTGGAGGTGGAAGATTTAAAGAGTCGGCTAATAGTGGACGGCAACTCGTACCCAAAGGAAAGAGATGAGGAATTTGGCGGTGTGGTATCCGTGTCTTTTTTAAGGGCACGGCCCCCTATGGGGGGCTACCCAAGCGA